ACACATATTTATACATATACTATACATAGATACATACATACTACGAACATATATACATATACATACAGAAACTAAGATAGATATATATTGAATTTGTAATTAAATGCAATCAATATACTACATACTATATTATATTTAATGGCTCGTGTGGAAAATTTTCATTTCCAAGTGATAGGAGTATTGTATAGCTTTGTTCTTTTTTTGTGAATAATGATCGTAAGATTTGTGATTTTATTACTAGATGCGATGGTTGTAATTAGGTTGAACTTAAAACTATTTTAATTTTTTCTCATTTCTTTAGTAAACAAATGTAGCTGTTTAAGTTTATATTCACGTGGAAAGTATTAAGCTATGTTTTTGTACGTGACCCGTTATCTAGTTGGTATTGTTGATCGAAGATGTGAACTTTTTTTATTTATAGAGTAAGTCTTCTGTACGGTTATAATCCAATTTTTTAACCACTCCGCAACAATAAATTTGTATTTAGTTTTGTAAGGGAATATATTGATAGTTCCTTATTCAATTTATTTGTAACTACTTTGGTAACAGAAAAAATCAATGTTATTGTTAATGTTATTGTGTATAAAGTAATATTGCAGACTTTATCCTTGCGGCGCTGATTCCTAAATATCTCTGGTTCATATTTTAACTGAGAATGTTTTTTAAGGACGGTATATAAAATGTAAAGCTGTCGTACAGTCAGGACTTTCCATTTTTGATAGAGATCAAACGTTGGATAATCGAATGGTAGGAACGAGCTCATTTTTAAAAGTGCTCTTTGGACTCGTTCAATTTTCAGTATATGTGTTTTACAGGCACCACCCCATGAAGTGATACAGTACATCAGTTGCGACTGGCAAAGAGCGAAGTAAACTGATTTTATTACTTTTAATTGACCCACATGTCTCAAGGCCTTAAATATTACCATTAATTTGCGTATTCTTGCCGTTAGAAGGTCAATGTGATAGTGAAAACTTAATTTGTTGTCAATCATTACACCTAGGTATTTAGTTGAGTCTGTGTTTATAAGTTTTGAGCATGCACAGTTTGTATCATTGGGATTATCACACAAGTGTGAAACAATTCTATTTGTAGGGTCAGGCTTATCGGTGTTTTTAATGGAAAAAGTGATATAATTTGTCTTTGAAACATTGAGGGTTAAAAGGTTCTTGTATAACCAACTAATTACAATATTCATTCCTTTTTGAGCATTTGAGAAAACCTCATCCCATGAACTGCCACTGAAATTGAGGACCGTATCGTCTGCAAAGGTAATTATTTTTGCATTTGGGATTTTCATCTGACAAAGATCATTTATATAAATGAGGAAGAGAGTTGGACTTAGAATACTTCTCTGAGGAACCCCAAAATCTACAGGGACTTCTTCGCTAATGATGTTATCAATTTGTACACATTGTGTTCTGTCTGTTAAAAAATCTTGAAAAGTTTCAACTGGATGTCTCTGATACCAAAGTATTCAAGTTTTTTAACTAAAATTGGGACAGTGACTGGTTGGGCGGCGGGCCTAAGGGTTCCCGAGTTCGATTCCCAGGTTGAGTCTTGACCCTATTATGCAAGATCTTATGCTATGTGGACTGTATAGGCGCTGGCTTCTTATGCCTCAACAAGATGGCGGATGTGACACGCGGCACCTTAGACAATGCACTCGCTCTTCCAAATCTATTGCTTGCCAAGGTTAGGAGGGGATTCTACTTGAGCACATTAGGAAAAATAAAATGGAGCGGATTAACTAATATACAAAATGCTCAAGTAGGAACAAAATTACGGGAAAACACTTACCGGGGTGTAATTCTGGTGCGCCGGACGACGCTTCCGTTGCGGTGATGCGACGTGAGGTGGGTTCTTCTGAGGCGCCCCAGAGATGCGATCCAGGCCAGTGGTGTGAAGGAAGAAGGCGGTGCGCGACGATATCTCACACTATGTGAGGCGGTTACTTCTGGAGCGCGACTGCTCCAGGTAATGTGGTTCAGACTAGCGGCGCGTGGCAAGAGGACGCTCGAGGGCAGCGCGCGAGCCTTTATTGTCTCGGCTTTTCCCACCAAGCACCTCGGTCGGGCGCGCTTCTCATTAGTTGAAAGAATCGCGTCACCTTATAGACCCCTCCCTTTCCCCTTTCAGTATTTACGGAAGGGATATTAGGTCAAAGGATGGGTAAACGCTTGGCAATATACCCTCGAATAAAATTAAAAATACAAGAATCGTTTCCGCGTAACCATCCCCCCCGGCTTGAAGGGTCCCCTTCAAAATAACTAACGCTAAGATTAAACCTAATTTTGTACTACAATTTCTAATCTAGAAAGCTAATTCAAACTGAATGAATGGGCACAAGGCACAAACGGACAACAGGGCGCATGTAAGACCCAGTCGTGGTCCTAACGCGAGCTACTCTAGTTACCCCGTCGGAACTGGGCAAAACTTCTTCGACGATCCCTAATAGCCAATGGAGAGGCGGCGTATACTCCTTAGTGAGCACAACCAC